AAAGGACACTACTAACCTAGCACCAAAAGACAACTAACCTAGCACAAACAGACAGCTAACATTGCAACAGAATAAAACTAAACTTGCGGAGACATATTACTAACATAACAATATACAACTATCATTGCAACATCACACAACTAACCTAGCAACATCATAGAGCTAACCTAGCAAAATGCTCTCCCTTCTCTCTAGTTCTCTCTCTCTACAATCCTGCCCTTCCCCGCTCACGACCACCGCCTAACCATGTCGTATAATGCCTTCCCGGCGTCGGCCCTTACGGCGCCGGCACACCAACCAGACGCAGACCCAACATCGACCAAACCAAACCCTCCATCGACCATCTCTAACCCGCCTGCTAGTTTTTCGGAACTGGAATTCTTCACAAATAATTACAGCTCCATCAATGAACAAGCTAAGGTTCTGCATCCTAAAGATCTATTTCCCGAAGCAATCGCAGCAGCTTCCACTGCTGGTGCTATTTCAAGTTGCTGTTTAAAGAAACAGCAGGAACTGGTCGCCATCCCAGGTACAAATTTTTCGGCCTTGCAACAATCGATTTCCGGCGAATTAAGGTCGCACTTTCGATTTGGATCTCTTCCGGTGTCCTCTCAGCAAGACCATCTCTTATCGCCGGTGATATCGGGCAATCAATCAGTGCCAGTTTCCTTGCTGCCAAATGGCGGCGTTGACCCAATCTCTCAGCTCCATGGACAAGAAAAAAGGGTTCCCCCTCAGCTCCAATGCCACGCGAACGGGCCGGACTATCCCAAGTTAGTATCAGGCCTAACCCATCTTGGGCCTTCTCATAGCCCACCAAAATCACTAAACACGCCCTCCAGATCGAACAGCCCAACAACATTAAGCCAACAACATCCCACCAACATCATTCAACCAACACTCCAACAGCCCAATTCTCCTCTCCAGCCCAACCATCTTTCCCAGACCACTATCTCTTTCAGCCCGTTTTTGGGCCTTCCCTTCTACGGGCCATCCTCAGACAAAACCAACCAGTTAATTAAACCCCAGCATGACCTTCAGACTGCCATAACACCCCCTTCTGCAGCCGATTATAGCGCCGGACATATCCCCCATATCGGTGCCGGCACTATTGCGACAGCCGGCAACACTCATGCCACCGAACCATCACAACCGGCCGACGACATTCCCATGGCAGCCCCGGATTTGGTTCCGTTGACCGGCACCGGCACCTCCACGGCCCCAGTTTCATTTCGGGAGGCCGTTACGGGAAAGAAAAAGGGCGGCTCGAGCACCCCGAACACAAAACCGAAAGATTACCCATTTGACGGGAACTACGAACATGCCTGTGGTACCATCACCCGCTCGGAGGGGAACAAAGTGAAGGCCCGTTTCACTGACGCCGAATCTGGCGACCTGTCAGGTAAACTAGATAACACCCTGGTATTTAAGTTCTCATATGCTATCCCCGCCCCTCGAGATATATCTGCTGGACTTAGGAAATTGGGTTTTAAGGGTAGTGTTTCATCGAAGTGGTTCAATTTTAACCACCTTCTTGTGACCTTCCACCTCATTGAGGA